TGCTATGTCTAGATTCTGTGCTACCGCAGCAATCGGAGGTAGGGTGATAGCATCTGCGTCGTCTTCCTTCATCAGGTATGTCTGCGTCGTACTGCCACTCTAGGAAGGTGATGTAGACTTGTGTGCAGACTTGTGTGGTAACCTGTGAGGCGATCGATGTGGTGATGTACGAGGAGATCGGAGACTATTGACAGCTTCGCGAAGCTCTTGAGTAGTCCCTTGACTCTGTTAAATGGCGATCTATATTCGGGTGTCCTTCCCGAGTGCCTTCGCCCATGAATGCCTTCCATGCGAGCGCCTTCCTGAGCATATGGCGAGCAGCCAGCGAAGCTTCCTCTGCGTTCGGTGCTGGGGAGCGGCGATTTGAGCTTCGCGAAGGCTTCCGTGAGGTCTGGTGGCTGAGTCTGCATCTAAGGATGAAGCCGAGGAATGTGATGATCTATCCGCCGCGAAGGCCTTCCGAAGCTGTACATCTGGGTCCTTCGTCCAAGGTGGTCTGCGACTTCCTTCGCGAAGGCTGCATCGTCTTAACTGCTTTCGTTGACTGGAGGTGCCTCTAGAGTGTTGTCTAAGTTGGAGCCTTGGCGAAGGCTCGTACTCTGGGCTGGCTGCTTCTCCAGTCTGTAGTGACCCTCCATCCGACCATGATTTGCCGTAGTAGCTTCGTCTGGGATGGTCTGCGGCAAGTAGTCGGTGCCATCTCTGCGCTGTTAGTGGTGGGGGGCCCTCAGGTAAGTCGTCTGACATCAGTGTAGAGACATCAGGCTGCATGGCGATCTCTGCTGATGTCATTGTAGCTGTCACGGTCGCTACTTGTCTCATCGTCGAGGATGATGATCGGCTGATCATCGTAGAGGCCAAGTTCAGCGGCTGGAACAATCTCGGTTGAGAAAGTCCTAGTAGACTTCGTTGAATTCCCCTCAGAGGTCGGCTGCCCTGGGGTCGTGCGAAGTCTGCGTTGAGTGTTAGTAGCGGCGGGACCCTCAGGAAGATCATCGAATGTTGATCTGCGCTGACATCACTGTTGCCGACATCAGTCATTCTTTGATGTACATCAGGAATGATGATCGGCTGATCATCATACAGGCCCAAATCTGCGATGAGAACAATCTCGGCTGAGAAAGTTCTAGTAGACTTAGTTGAATACCCCTCAGTCGCGGCGAAGGGATGTCTGGGGAAGCAGGGCGCTTCTTGGAAGCGGCGGACTACGTCCCACGCCTCTCCACCATTCTAAGCGGAAACCCAGGCGGGAGGGTCGACCAACAGCAGTAGACTGGCGAGGGTTCAGGTGTATCAGTCATGCTAGACTCTGCATCGTGACCTATCTGCTGCGGCGTCTCAAGCGCCAAAGTAATTATTTATTAAAGGTAGAATTGGATAAATTAGTATCGCAACTGCAGCGTGAATCACATGAAACATGGCGCAGTACAGCTAGGGCATATTAAATCGCGGATCAGCAGCAGAATAAAAAGCGTAATGTGCAACAGTACAGAATTTTTATCAACGTAATCCACTGCAACAACACGGTCCGTGCATAAACAGTAGAAACGACTAAATATCAATATATAATTGTTGAAAGATACTAGCTAAACCTCTATAGATCTCTCTATACGAGGTAACTAACTAAATATAATCAAAGGATATAGTGTGTCGGGAGACACAGGCGCTCTCACGTCCAGCTCACTGGGCGAAGAAGGAAGAGTGAGGCACATGGGTAGAGGTGGCGCCCTCGTTCAGCGCGCTTGTGGAAGGGAGGTAACTTCGTGGTGTACTAATTAGTGATTTTACATTGAAGGGAACTTCAATTAGGGAGATACAAGTGTTCCACTATGTTAGCAAGAGGAAGGAGACAAGCAAAAGAGCATGAGTCAGGATAAGGAAATGCTTTACTGTCATATATTATTTGCTATGTGGTCATGATGAAAATGCTGCACTTGGTAATTAACTTACCAGAGATGATTGAATACAACCTTGTATTCTTAAAGAAAACTTGCCGTTTGCCCATCAACATTCATTCTTGACATCAAATTGTTTGACATTGTCCTGCAAAACAATGGAAGATTGTTGTCATTCTGTCAGATTTAAGGTTTCTTTAGAGATTCTCAGAAATGATTATTTCAAAATTAATAGAAGTTGAACTGATGTAGCAATTTTGCTACCAGGAGTCATAAATTGTAACAAAAGCCATTTTTTACATTAAATGATAAGAAAACAAAATGGGTGGTGGTTCTGGAGTCAAAGAACAAGTCTATTGTGGGGAGGTCTCCCAACACCATTTTGTTCCCAAACACAAGGAAGTATGGATCATGGAGTTCTGAAAACAATAATGAGCTCTCATAAGTATACAATATATTCTCTATTATCTACTCTCTCTCTCTTTGTCATTTGTACACTCATAAAACTCAGATAAATAACTTTTTTATAATTCATAAATGTTTACACTTAATCTCTTATAGGAACGCTTAGAAAATCTCTCATATAATGAATTATGTGTGCGTATTATCTGGTGACGTCATAACTATGCTTCTCTGAATCATGAACAATAAAATAATGAGATTAAACTCTACATTGCCAGAAATAATCTATCATACCATGAACAATAAGACATTGAATAACATCTCTCTTACAACTCCAATCTACACTCAAAGAAGACTTAAATGTACTCGTAAACAAACATAGCTGGCACACGCAAATTCTTGGAAACAGTGCATCTCTGACTCTCAATTCAAGAAATGGAAATCCTACTCTATTTGATCAAAGGGGTGACAGGGTGGCCAAAACATATTGAAATGTAGGTCATACACTGAAAATAACTCTGATTTAAAACACTACAAATATACACCTTCTCTATAATATGCTCGATAGATGATCTTAACAAGGGAACATGTACATAAAACGCTGATATCTAACAACACCTGTACTTCAATTAATGGACTCTTCCAAATCTCAGTATGTTTCCCTGCACACATATTAGATTGCAAATAATGAAAAACCTACCCTTTGACAATAATAAAAACATCATATTCAAATTCTACAGCTGACCAAATACCCGAAGAGTGTGTTTCCCAGCAATAAACATCTCTTGTATCTATAAATGTATGACTTCTGTCCTCTCGCGTGCTATCTTGCATCCAGCTGTTTGCGGCGAAAACAATATGGCGCCAAGCAAGGGAGTGCTCATTAAACTAAACATCTCCGGGAGAAATCATTGTCATTTTTTTTCTCTTAAAATTTTAAACCTTATATATATAAAATGAAAATAAAGACCAACTATTATCACCAAAAAAGACCAAACATTATCACAAATATTCAAAACAGGTGGTAATGAAAGAGCATTATCATCTTTCTCTTAAACTTTGTGGTGGATATACTGGAAACAAGTTGAAATGTTAAAACGTGTTACCTTAGCCTTGCTCCTTTTATGTGATCCACAAAATTGCTGCCACCCAGTCTTCAAGATGAGATTTCTGCAAATTCCATTAAAATAATCTTATTTCATAATTAAATGTTCCTTACATTAAAATTACTTCTTTTGTATGTAGATTTTAACCTTTAAGAGACATGAATTATCACATCCCTTCCAAACAAGTGCGTAAGAATGAAAGTCTGTGGGTGCAGTTTTGTTAATTGTCTCATCAAAGAATCATTAGTGAAGTTACACTTTTGTAAATAAATAAAAGTTCAAATAAATTATATACAATTTCATCCTTTAACAAAGACTTTCACAAGACATTTTAAAGTGAAAATTTTCGTTGCATTTCCTTACTTATTTCTCCACCACCCCCTCACCCCAATAATATACATATGTTGACAGGGTTCAGGGCGTGCTCAATGCATCATTTACTGATAGATCTATTCAAACGAACAAATGTTCATAATAATGGGATGCAATATAAAATGTTGATTAACCCTATCCGATTTTTGTATAGTGTATAGCTGCCCTTAGGGACCGTTCATAATGTATGGCTTTGGGTGATGTTGATTTTATGTACAATGTGAATTACATCCCCTAAAGTGTAAGGAGTATGTACAGAATAAGAGACGGCCCACCCTGCATGTCATGTACATTATCTATGACGCCCTCTCCCTTCCCATAATTTCTAAACATAGTGCGTGTGTACAAAAATGCTGACCCCTTAGCTCCCCTGAACAAAATGGGTGACACCCCACCCCACCCTCCAACCCTACAATCAACACCCCCACCCGCAGCCATATATATTTAATTATGAACGGTTCCTTATATTGATGTACTTCATTGATTATTTGAAAATGTATATTTGCAAAATTCAGATCAGGTGATGGGTACGAAAGGAAATCTTATTCGATTCTATAATAAAATGCCAAATATATGCATGCAAATATATTGAAAATAACAAAACAAGTTCATGGAAAACTGGCTTTCCACTAAATTTTGAGAAACATGTACATACCGGTAACCTTGTGAGATAAAACATGAGCCCTAATTCGGAGTTTCTTTGCTACTGCTAGATTTAAAACGGCATTCCTACGTTTTCATTATACATGATGGACATACTTACCAAATAAACACCAGCATGCCGTGAAGATGGGGAAAATAGAACGATATTGCGTTGAACTTCGCCAAAGTGAACTGACAACGATCAGCTGCCTTTGCGCGCGCGATAATTGTGCGCATGTCCGGATATGGCCAAACGAGGCGATCGGAAGGTCAACATCTGGCTTGTGTTTGAAAGCAAATTGTCGGGAATTATACAATTTTCACAGTTTTGTGGGAAAAATCAAATGTAATACAATTTGGATAACTGAAGACTTTATACCTAAAACTGCGATTTACGTAATATTTCCGTCCGTTGATCGATGCACAATCAAATAATATATAAGATTATATCTGTCAGTAGCTCGATCCAACGTTGACAACTAACATTTATTCTAACCGAATTGCCTTTGGAAATTTTCATTTTCATAAAGTGATTTATTAATCAATATGTTAATTAATGTATTAATTTATATGCATGTTCCAGTTTGTGGTGTGTGTCCTATTTGTCTTCATAATGGAGTTGGCAGTGGGTATCATCGCCTTCCTGCACAGGAATGAGGTCAGTTTCTTTCTTTCTTTGTATTCAGACAGCTAGTCTGTCTCACAATCCCAGAACAATATTATTTTCCCTACTGACTAGCCTTCCCTGTAATGCTGGGCGGTGGGGTAGTCTAGTGGTTAAAGCGTTGGCTCGTCACGCCGAAGACCCGGGTTCGAATCCCCACATGGGTACAATGTGTGAAGCCCATTTCTGGTGTCCCCCGCCGTGATATTGCTGGAATATTGCTAAAAGCGGCGTAAAACCAAACTCAGTCAGTCAGTCCCTGCAGTGAAAGCCTTAAATGTAGCAAGTCTGGATTTCCTTTTGAATCTCCCATCACACTCGGGCTCCTTTTCAATTTAAATGGATTTTTATATACATTCAGAGACTAAGCATAAGCCTAATTTGTCGCAGGAACTACAAAATCCAAGTTCTGGTTGATGTATTTATTTCCCAAAGACCTGTGGATTATTACATGTTTTAGTTATCAGACATGGTGTATGTTCACACAGACCATGAGGTTTTAGACCAATTCACAATTAGTCTATGTGTATCTATAAAAATTTATTCTGGAAAATTACAGTGTATGTGAAGTAATGCAAACAACTTATTGCTGCTGGTTTCCCCATAATACAATATTGTTTAGAATTATCTTTGACATTGAATTTATACTTGGGAGAAAAATCTCTTTGACATGTTTAAATAAAAAAATACTTTTAATCATCCACCACAGCATTCATTCAACATATTGGTGGATTATGCTTGCTGGGCCAATGGCACATTCAGTTCTTTACAGAGGAGGGGCGGTGGGGTAGCCTAGTGGTTAAAGCGTTGGCTCGTCACGCCGAAGACCCGGGTTCGATTCCCCACATGGGTACAATGTGTGAAGCCCATTTCTGGTGTCCCCCACCTTGATGTTGCTGGAATATTGCTAAAAGCGGCGTAAAACCAAACTCAGTCAGTCAGTCTTACAGAGGACAGTGTTCTTGTTCCCATCTAAATAATATTTCTTTTACTTTAAAGATTGAAAGTACTTTGAAGGAGGAGCTTCTGGAAGGAATGAAGAACGATCTGTCGCTTCCTTCTTGGGACGTCATTCAGAATAAGGTTGGTGTGAAACTACTGTTTAATGAATACTTCTTGAAGATGAAAACATAAGTCACCGAGTGTTACTATGATTATGTATTGATCAATCAAATTGTAGGTCAGTCAAGTTAAAGTTTTCAAAAGCCTTCAGTTGTGGCACTTCAGAATTTTAAATTGCCAAGTAACCTACTGGAGGGGTGGTGGGGTAGCCTGGGTGTTAGAGTGTTCAGGCTGAAGGCCAGGTTCAGTTCCCACATTGGTTCAATGTGTAAAGCCCATTTCCTGAGTTGGCCAGCATGATATTGCTGGAATATTGCTAAAAATGACATAAAACCATAGTCACTCACTCGAAGACAGCGTTAGCATATTGAATTCAACTTTCTGTGGTAGTAAGGAATTATCTCCCTTGCTAACCGTTGCTTTACTGAGTTGGAGTGAAGTGTTTGACTTTTTCAATAATTTTTGTTTGCACATTTTCATAATTCTAAAACTAAAAACAATAAACATAGTAAAATGTAGACATTATGAACAATTCTATACAGTATCAACTTATCAACAATAAGAATTTGACCATAACATTTTAAAGACATTTGAACTGTTTATGTACAGCTGAAGTGCTGTGGAGTGAACAATGCAAGTGACTGGCTGATAGGGGATAAGACCACGATCCCCGACTCCTGCTGTAGATTCTCTGGCTGTGGATTACAGGGAATCAAAATAGCCCACAGAGATGTAAGTAACAGACCAACCCGGGCTGACCTTTATACTGGACTTTGTCATTTGTGGATTTTATCTTTTCTGTCCAAGAACAAATTGTTTAGGACTTGTTATTGCTCTGATTATGGTTGGTTGGTTTTATAGTTTCAGGGCGACGTGGGCCAATAAGAGGCCTATTTGCACCCAACACATTGACTTGATTTAATAAACAATCATAGGTAATTTCATCGCCAAAAGGAACGACAACACTATTAATTGGGATAGATGAATACATATATCGAATAACCTCTGCTTTGTGTTACGGATTAAAAACCTTAAGTAATCACTTCCATTTCTGAAACATGAAATACTCATTCATTAAAAAAGCAGTAGGTTCAGATGACAGAGTGTTAAAATGATTTAAAACCACAGAACTAAATCTGTCAAAGCCATTCGAGAGCCTGTCTAGATTACATCATATTTTCCAGATGACGAGACAAAATCTAAAACTGCCCGTTGCACAGACCCATACATGATATTGGGGCCCAAAACTGTTTCTAGTGAAAATCCATCATCAACCTCAAGTACAGCACTTCTGAGATTATGTCTTATGTTGTTATGCCCAGGGCATGTAATTAGATAATGTTATGCTATGATTATATATTCTGTTAGAGTTATTCCCCCTTAATTATAATTTTTCAAATTTGACCTATGACAAGGATCCTGTTTCTTTACCCATTACTTAATTTACAATCTGTAACAATCTGTGTGTCTACAATGTGTGTTGTTATCTCCAGGCCTGCTTCACGAAGGTTAAAACAGAGATCAAGGATAACTTCTACTATCTTGGAGCAGCAGGAATCGGACTTGGTGTGTGTCAGGTATGTCCAGTAAATCTGCAACTTAAGTCTTTTAATTTGGAGATTGTTCATTCGTTTTGCCTTTCTATAGCTGCAATACTGCTGACCATGATATATTTCCCAGGTGACCCGTACGTGAAGATCCGAGTTAGAACTGATCTTCAGCAACCCATGCTTGTTGTGAGAGGCTACTAACGGGATCGGGTGGTCAGGCTCGCTGACTTGGTTGACACATGTCATCATGTCCCAGTTGCGTAGATCGATGCTTGTGCAATTGATCACTGGATTGTCTGATCCAGTCTCCATTATTTACAGACTGCCGCCATGTAGATTGAATATTGCTGAGTGTAGTGTTAAACAAGAAACAAACAAAACTACCCGGCTGATTCCATGTCCAAAGATTATTCTGTCTTGTCCCACTTGTTCATGACTTGATGTTTATTTGCAGATAATTGCCATTATTTCTGGCATCAGCCTCTTGGTAATGCTGTGGCGTAATGACAAGGTGGTGTAGGGAATCTGTATACCACATCGCTATGACAACAGAGAGAGCGGTGGGAGGCTATAATCTGTATATCAACATGGGCAGAGAGTGGAGGGACACTATGCTATATATCAACACGGAAATGCTGTGGCACAAAGAGAGTGTAGTGTCGTCGCATACTTTCTATCATCAGGGTAGGGTTATGGACTAATGGCAAGAGACTGGATGGACAGTGTAATCTCCATATCATCATCTTTGAGCTGCACAGGGCAGTTTGCTCATCATCTACAATAACATCTGCGTTGGTAACTAAGCTGTTACCATGGTAACAACAACACACAGTTTGTCTCCGAGTACATAATCCCCATATTTCACCCTACAAAAATACTGCAGACATTTTTCTCAAACTTGGATTCAAATTAAGGAACTCTTTCTTTTTCAGCTACTTTCGTGTTTAGTGTGTTACTTATAAAGACAATTTAGAATCTTAGACTCTGTGTACCGGTTCTAGACCATTGCTCTGTTACACAAAGTGATCTTAGCACCAAGATGGTTAAAATTGATCTTCCGCAACCGATGCTTGTCGTAAGAGGCGACTAACAGGATCGAGTGGTCAGGCTCGCTGACTTGGTTGACATGTCATCATAACCCAATTTGTAGATTGATGCTCATGCTGTTGATCACTGGATTGCTTGGTCCAGACACGTTTATTTACAGACCGCCATCATTTACCTTAGATATTACTGATTGCGACGTAAAATCACAATCATAACCCGAATACTTTAACATAGACTTTGGATGGTTATAGCACTAAGATGGCATTATATATGGAATGGGGCCTGGAACTTGAGTTTTCATCTACCATCATCATCATACTTACATGTGAACAAGTCCATTAAGGCAACACTTCACCATCAGTGATACTTAAATAGCTGACTTCTAATCAGGTGAAGGTTTTTCAACAAGAGATCTGCATCATGTTTCCTGGTCCTCGCTAAAGAAGAATACTTGGCAAAGCATAAGTGGTGGCAATGGAGAATTTCTCCTGTTGTAATAGTATGACTAATACGTTTTCATTCCAAAAAGGGGGCGGTGGGGTAGCCTAGTGGTTAAAGCGTTCGCTTTCCCACATGGGTAAAATGTGTGAAGCCCATTTCTGGGGTCCCCCACCGTGATATTGCTGGAATATTGCTAAAAGCGGTGTAAAACCATACTCACTCACTCACCCATTCCAAAAAGTATTTCCCTGCTACTATTTGACATTTTGCACCATAATTCGTGAGGGTTGTTTAAGACACATTAAGATATATTACCGATGTGACATTTAACACCCACTCAAAAAGGTGTAGGTGTGGGCTTAGTGGGTAGGTGTTCTCTCATCACACCAATGACTGGGTTTGTTTCTTTCCACATGGATACAAGGTGTGAAGATGATTCTGGTGTCCCCTGCCTTGATACTGCTGGAATATAGCTAAAAGCCTTCATGCTAAAAGCTTCATGCAAACAATTTGAATTGTAATTTGGGAATAAGTATCTGGGTCATGATCAATACAACTGTATCATTCCATTACCAAGGGTCACTTGGTGCTACATGCCATTCGACTATATATGATTACAGTATGTAGTCAACTAGATCGTCAGCTAACAATATCATTTTATATGGTGATTACTGATTAAGATGAAGAATGCTACCAAAATCTGTTCCACACTTATTGTATGACAAATATTTCATCTTTCAAAGTGCTATTCTAGTGTGAAAGAAATGCTCCTAAGTGTAACTGGAAAATACGTGAAATATCGTGTCAGTGTGTGGCCATATGTATATTGTATATATGTACATAATGAAGATTATTATTGCATAATGTTTATCTGTATGAGATATATATGAATACACAATGCCATTTAGAAAGTGGTCAAATGTAACACGTTATATTAGGATTACACTCTCTCAGTAGAATACAGATTCTAGAAATATTAGGGATTACACTAGTAAAAGAATCTGTATTTTACTGAGAAAGTAAAATCCCAAATATTTCATGTTACATAAGAGATATATAGAATTGCAAACATTGTTAATTAACCCAAAAATATTTCGTAAGTTAAAATTGTATTTATTTATTAATTACAGAAATTGTCTAAGTATGTTATTAGATAAGAGAAAGGAATTGTTTCAGTTCTTGAAGTAACAGCGATTATTAAGCCAATCCAAACATCATGTATGGTTGATGTACTTACTCTTGAGAGTGAGCATGTAAGGAATGTTCGACTTTCATTTTTATATGACAATACATCTGATTTTTGTACCGGTAATAGTAAAGTTTTTGAAGAGAAACGAGAAAACTTCAATTTGTTGAAAGATTTTGTTATTTTTATTAATAAAAGTTTGAAATTGTATTATATGTGTTGTTTTATGAATATTCTGGAAATGTACTATCTATTCTGACAAGGACAATGTCTTACAAGTGCCTGGTGCTTGATGTGGCATACCCAATTGTGTAGATTGATGCTCATGCTGTTGATCACTGGATTGTCTGGTCCAGACTCAATTATTTACAGACCGCCGCCATATAGCTGGAATATTGCTGGGTGTGGCGTAAAACTAAATACAACAATCAATACAACATTCATGCAATGGTCTTTGACCTGCACTACAATCAACTTTGACCTGTATCCCAGCTACATTGACATTTTCACCTGCACAATAATGTGCATTTTGACATGCACTATTGTGCCATATTGACCAGCACTCAAAGTAACACTTTTACCAGCATTACAAAGTGACTGGGTACTATCACTACAAGTGATTCTTTCACCGCAATTACAATGACCCCAAACTAAAGACATGGTTAAAACACACAAATATTGAGACCTTAGTTCCAAAAAGTGAGTGAGAGAGTGGGTTTTACATCGCCGCTTTTAGCAATATTCTAGCAATATCACGGCGGGGGAACGCAAGAAATGGGCTTCACGCAGTTTACCCATGTGGGGAATCGAACCCCTGGCTTCGGCGTGACGAGCAAACGCTTAAAAATAGGACTTTCTGGTCCGTTACAAGTTGTCTCCCTTTGACCGCTATCTGAATACCCACCAAGCCAACGCCATACGTTTTCTGTTAGCCTTGCTCCAAGGCTGTACTGAATGCTAAGCCCTTAGTTGTCTCTGTTTAGTAACTTTATCCTTTAAAGAGGCAAGTCTAAATGAGCGGACAGTACTGTTATTTATATATTTGTTGGAAATGTTAATGTAAACTATTAAATATTACCTTAGAGACTTAGAAGTCTAGTTTTCTGTATACAAGATATACACTGATGCATCACAGTTCCCCGCAATACACGATGCCTCAAAAATGCATAATTATGATGCAGTGCTTCGGCAATGAACAAATATTTAAACGAGAAATGAAGGTGTAATATAGAACACGAGGCTTCTCCATAGATGAAAGGAATGGCATGAAGCTGCTTAATCTTATTCACAAAAACAAGGCAATACTTGCGTGCAAAAAAAACACTTGTTCTATATGAAAACCATAGCATAACTACCCAATATTCACCCCAAATCCGACATAACTACCCCCTCTCTCGGCATACCTATCCCATCCTCAACAGCGCTCTCGAAATATACAATTCAGCCTACCCCATCCCCGACCAAAGCTCTTGATGTCAACCACTGGGTTGTCTGGCCCAAACTCGATTATTTACAGATCGCCGCCATATAGCTGGAAACTTTCTGAGTGTCTCAGTGCGGCGTTAAGCAACCAACCAACCAAACAATATATGGTACGAATGACACCTAGATCGGGCACACGATTTATGTGTGTTTGTTTATATGACTTAAAACAAAAGAGTAGGAATCGTCTCCAGAGCGTAACTCACTGTTTTTGTCATTTACAGATGATCGAACTCAGTGAAACATAGTCCGCCTCCCAGACCCCAAGAGAACACCACAAAAAGAAGTCCTAGTCTAGAATGATTGATACAGCCCTGACGCAAAATGGCCGACACGTGCACTGCTTATCATTTTGAAAGCTTAGTAATCTGTCAACGAGAATGTTTGACACCTAGCAAATGGATGTGGGTCTCTGGTTTAATACATAAACATGAACTAAGCCATTCAATTATTTTGTTTGCACATGACTGAGTGAGTGGGTATGGTTTTACCCCGCTTTTAGCAATATTCTAGCAATATCGCGGCGGGGAACACCAGCAATAGGGTTCACATATTGAACCCATGTGGGGAATCGAACCCGGGTCTTCGGCGTGACGAGCGAACGTTTTAACCACTAGGCTATCCCACCGATCCTCTGTGCACATGAACCTCCCAAAACAATACAAATTGTAGTATGAGGAATTGAATCATATTGCTTGTAATTTGATATGCCACTGCTCATCATTTATTGATAATAGGCAAATTATACAATATGTAACTTGATTACATTTGAATATTTTGTTTTAAATGACTATTTCCGGATTTTAGTTCTCCTTTTTGTATACACCGTGTCAACCGGAAATTAGCCCTTCAGACAATAACCCCGAAATAGCATTATTGCAACAAGGGTTTAATAATGGCGGTCAATTACCAGAGACAGCCATGTGCAGCGGTTACATACTTCGTGGCTGTAATATTCAATAAACCTAAACGACGTAACACGTGCGTTGAAATTTAAGGAACGTTTATAATTCCAGATGAAAAGAGGAATACAACCACCCTCTCGTGAAGAATCTTCAGCAAAGCGTTCTTGTTGCATGAGTCGACTAACGGGATCGGGTGATCAGGCTCACTGACTTGGTTGACACATGTCATCGTATCCCAAATACGTAGATCGATGCGCATGCTGTTGATCACTGGATTGTCTGGTCCAGACTATTATCTACTTACCGCTGCCATGTAGCTTGGATATTGCTGAGCGCGGCATTAACAACAAACCAAGCTCGACATTCTAGAAGTGTAGATCGATGCTCATGATGTCAATCACTGGGTCGTTGCCAAGAGCGACGTTAAACAACTAACAACACCCTCCCTCCTTGTGTGCGTGGGATTCTGTTTTATGGTGGGTTGCGGAGAGTGGTTGCATGGGTGACCGCGTTCGGTATCCTCGCTCTCTAGAGTTTCGTGGTGCGGACCAACTGGCACACCACATACAAGGTACCCTGACTCCCAACCAAAGAGACCCTGTTTACCCCATAAATGGCCACCGCCAGGCAGGGAAGCAACAAACACCATCTTATAACGTCTTCAGGTATGACGCTGTAAGGCTGCCTCGGCTGACCATCGCATAATAATAAAAAGACACAAACATGCTTCATTCTTTATTCACAATAGTCTCGTGTATCAAAATAGTTGTCATTTGACTAGACAATAACAAACATGTAATATCTAAGCATGGCTCTTGCGTAGTCACAAATAAATAACACGTGTATAAGGCTGATATGGAAGTGGGATAACAGCAGATATCTCAATAAACAATCGGTGTTAT